TTTAAGAATACTGAGAGCAACTGAGGGTGTACTGAGCACCCCTTCTGTCGACCCTGTCAGATCAGCTAACTCCGTACCGACTGAGCCTGACTGAGGTCTGTCTGATGCTGTTACTCACTGGATGATCTCAGTGAACCATGGAGTGGGAGCTGGGGGGAGGAGGAAGAGGTGAGAACTCCATGCAGTCACTGCTGTGTGCAATTAGCTGTCGTGTTTCGCCCACAAAATATACAGTCAATTCACTTTACCGTATGTGCTGTGAAGCACTTTGAGACGTCTCGAAGATGAGTTAAGGCGCTGTATCAAATGTAAGGATTATTATTATTTTAAAAGTCTGTGATGGGTAAGACAATTGCCTGATTTATTCTATGGAAATTAATTCTGTCTTCTCCTCTTGCCCCACACACATCTCTTTATACTTTGTAAAACCTAATTTTGGAAATTCAAAGCAAAAAGCAATATAGAAACGCAAGTCTTATATCAGTCAGGCAGGAATAAAAGTTGTGAATTGATGTATTGACACGACACCCACCTTTGGAAAGGATATAAACAGAATCCAGAGAAGCCTGAAGATATATGGAAACACTGTGGCCTTTACAGCTTTTTTACTTTATAAAGTTTGTGTGCATCTTGGATTGTGTATCTCTGGGGAGTGAGGTGATGTTTCTGATTAATGAAGTGGAAGGATACAATTCCATGTGCCGGTGAGTGTGTGTTTTGGAGGTGGCAGAGATTGAGACCCAGACTTGAAGTGCCCATTTTACTATTACAGTGCCTTATTTATATGTACATATGTGCTCCGAATGGAGTCGGTATCAGATTCTGAACTTGCCATGTAGATGTAGTTCCTGTTTCTGGACGTGGCTGAGGGACAACAGCCCGGATGAGATGGTTCTGGTTCAGGCAGCGGTGATTCAGTGTGAAAGACATTACATAAATATCTCATTACCTTAATGTGCTGTGACCCTAAAACCCTACACTAAACATTAAAATGCATGTAGATGTAAATGAAACTTTAATATGTGATTTATTTGGAGGTTAAATACAGTAGGACCCCGTTACAGGGCAATAATCGGTGTTCATCAAATGCCAACCCACCTTACAATTGGGGGCATGGTCACACATCACATGGTAACTGCATGCGACAGAGACACAGCTAACTCCATGGATACGCTGTGTGTGAAACCACCATGTGTTGTGCTGACTCGGTTTGAAGCGAGCCAGTGAGATTTCAAACTCTGTTTAACATGCGCTGACAGATTTGGACGGCCTGTTGTCCAGAGTTTAGATTAGCAAATGTCGGGGTTCACATGGTCTAGCGCTGTAGTGTCCTGCCGTCCTGATAAGACCTGTTCCTTAAGTGCAATTGTATCTATTATTCCAATTCATTGTCCATTATATTTCCTCTTAACTGTGTAATGTAAACGAGTTGTGTAAAGGTTTACAATTTTGTGCTGTGTGATACCAGAGTCAGATATGGCTGTAGCTGCTGTGTGTATTGTCAGATCTAGTGGTTTTTGCTGTGGAAAATGGTTAAGACGACGTTTAGCATATTAAACTCTGGCATCTCTGTAGGATGACCCATTGATAATGGGGGGATTGCAACAAACACTGAAAAAGCCTTGCCATTTGGATGGAAATGGCTGAAAAGGAGACATCTACATTAACAATAAACAATGATTCATATTAAAATTAATTACACTTAGAATTATAGCAATGCTCCTTCTGTATCAGGCTGTCTGTGGGAACCATACCAAAGACATTTACTAACATGGCCAGTGTTGCACATTATGTTGTATATGCTTCATTAAGGAGGAGCAATAAACAATGCACTTAAGATCAGATTGCGCCTGAACTTTCGTCAGGCTGTTTCGCGTCCAATGAAAGGCGTGCACCGTCTGATTTCTCCTCCTCTTATCTCTTGGCCCTTTTGGGGCCAAACCCCTGGTAATCTGCTCTCACACCAGCATCGCTGCCATTTAGGTTAGTTTCCGAGTCATATGACAACAGGACTCCCTCGTCACCCATTCTGTCCTCACCACTGAAGGTCTTCTACTCTGTGTGCCTGTGAACTTTGGCTCAGATCAGTAGCTGCGCAGAGGCACCCACAGCTCAAAGTCCCACCACGTCACTCCTGGCATTGAGCACAGTTTACTGTGGAGCAACTGCATGATTGTGCCCTTGTATAATCCTGCTCCCTGACCACTTCCTTTTGGTTCTTTGATATCTGAAACCTGGTTTGAAGCAGTGTTAGTATTCCAAAGTAAAAGTCTGCAGTACACTTCCTCCTCTCCTGAAGCAGACAGTCTTCCTAATAGTTTCTCAACACCTCTCTTGAACCCAGAATCAATGCCTGATCTCTTAGCACCTCAGACAGGAGTCACTCCCTTGATTCTTATACATGTGTAAGGGTGTGCAAGTGGATCACAGGATTGAGCTCAGGCAGACATGTTGCCTGACAACACATGTGAAGAGTGGACCACTTGAGCAAGCAGCTGAGGGGGACTATTGCTTGTGGATCTGTGCCCAGTGGAAGAAAAAAAGTAACACTCTTCAGCAGAGGCTGGGAGGCAATTGGCAGGAGAGACAACGTGGGTGTTTGTGTCACTGTGTGTCCTGCCTGGGAAGCTGTGAAAGGTCTTCGGTTAAAATCTACAATTTGTTTTGGTTCAAACCTGTAAAACCAATCAGAAATTAAACAACAACAACAAATGACACATTCACGTCAGAAAAACAGCGACACTTCCTTCAGCGACACTCCCTTGTGTTCAGCCAGGGAAACAATATTTTGAATGTATTTGCCCTGTTCCCCCGTAGTGACTCCCTTAAATGACTGTGTTCCTCAACATAGGAAGCCGTAGGTACCAGAATTCTTACCATTTCCACTGGTCCAGATACTTTGTAAAATAAGATCAGTGTGATTCTGTAAGAACTGCACAACGTATGTTCACCATTTTCACATCCAGGCACAGCTGGGAATTGAAGCCTGTTCATATTGCTCTGGCCCATGCATCATATGGATGCACAAATGCATTATTAACAGCGCGTTGCTTACAAGGCTCTGTGGGATGCTTCCTCCAACTTTGCTCCATTTGTAACATTTATGTTGACCTGACATGTCCTGCACGGCATGTTACAAGGTGAAAACTATTTTAACTGCTTGAATATCAAACCCTGGCTTGATATTCTCCAACTGATTAGGAACGTGAGCAAAACATACCCCACAATGTGTTTTACTTATATTGGAAGCAGTTTCAATGTGGATAAAGAGAGATTGAAATAGTTTGGTACTTAAGTCAGCAATGATGCTCCCACCAACCATGACATGTGGAGAATGAATGGGCCCAGCTCTGGCCAACTTTCAGTTGATCGGTCAAGGAAAAGATTGTGATTTGTTGTATTATTCCACAGAGCTGCAGGTTCAAGTGCAGAGGGTAATGTTGGAAACCTACAGAGTGAGGAATGGAGGGAAAGGGATGAATATCAGGGCCTGAATATGCCCCAGTACAGAATGATTGTACTTCTCTCATAGAGCGATTGTGCAGTCTCTATATTTGTGACTATTCTCTTCCCCCCCCCCCCCCCCCCCCACCCCCATGAAATTAGTTGTTAAGGGAAAGGGCTTATTATTTTCAGAAACAAAATAGTGCAATAAATCATTGTATTTTTATGCAATGTCAGTTCTCCTGCTTAATCTACTGCTTGAGCAACTAAAATTTGATTATGCATGGCTGCATTCATATTTCCCACTGAACCTGAATAAACTAACTATTATGCAAGGAAGTGGCAGAGGCTTTTGCTTCCCTCCCCTAGCCATTCTCCTTGTTGAGAAAAAGGCCTCCTGTGCAGAAGTCTTGCTCTCCCACCACTGACCCCAGGTAGTTAAATGTTCATATAGTGGACAGCAATATGATCCAAGAGATTACAAAATATTTTGCATCTAAAATACTGTAATCTGAGCTCATCATTCAACGGTGTGCAACAGGAAACAAGCTAGGATGTAACGCCTGGTTGCAAATGTTAATTTCCACGAGGAAAAGAAAGCAAAAACAAAATGGTGGGCTCCTAAATTTGTCAGCAGGTCAGAAGAAACCAGAGTACACAACCACTCTTTGCTTCTGACTGCCTTTGGATGACTGGGGTGACTGGTGTGCTATGTTGACATATGGAATGGAGCTGAAATGAAATTGCTCCAGGCAGCACCTTGAGAGAGTCAACATTCCCTGACTCTACCCCAGGGCTTTCAGGGCACAGCTGGGGAGTTGTATGTAACAATATGGAATTCAGAACTCTGGGTAAACACTCTGCCGATAATTTGGCCATAAATAAATGGTTACGTTTTGAATTGTGTTCCTGTGATGTGTTCCGTGGGATGTCGTCTTTGTGAACTGCCCGTCCTCCCACACTATATTGGCTCATGAATTCCAATTAGAGGGTTGGCCCAAAAGGTAAATCCATCTGTGAAGTGTAGACCGGAGCCACACAGACAGGAAGATCCAAGCTCAGCCCCCAGTCTGTGCTCGGATAGCTGATGTTAGCTGGGCAGCACTAGGATTAGTCCAGTGACTCGCACTAAAAGCTGAGGGCAGTGTGGGGCTGTTTGTGATGCCCTCACTGTGGACAAGCTATTCACTGGCTGAAGGAAGAGGTGCAGGATGACTGTCCTCTCCAGTGAGACTATCTTCAATAGAGAGGGGAGAGAGAGCAAGTGATCGTCAAACCCACTCATTCTATTCAACCCCCTGTGTCACCAGGTCTGCTCTCAAACACAGGCTGACCCAAGGCATTTCATGCCTCAACCTCTCACATCCTCTTTGATGATCATAAATTGATTGAGTTTTCAGCCCTGTAATCTGTGCTGTTGAAAATACAAAATTTAATGCGCTATGTACAACCTCTAGCAACCTGAGTCAACTACTTATTCAATCCCACATATCAGTAAGTATTTCAATCGGGTTGAAGAACTGAAACTAATTTTTTGCTTTTCCTTTTTCCTACAGTGTGACAGTGAGAGCGACATCGATGATAAGGTAAATCCAACCTCTTTGCTGACTGACTGGTTGCTATGCTCCATCTGCATTGCACATCTCACATCAATTCAACACAGTTTTCATGCTGAATTAACATTAATAGTGCAGTATAAATGCGCTTGATTTTTTTTAGCCTTATTCTGAAACTCACTACCAGAGGTGCAGTATAAACCTGATTCTATGGAGACTTCTCCATTTTAAAAAATCTTATGTTAAAAACGTTGCAAGTGGATTGAGAACAGAAGTTTAATGTATTCAGGAAATCAAGTTTTTCCAAAGCAGTAATTTAGAAATACCATAATTTCGGGTTGATATTAGAATCAATGTTAGCCATGATAATCAGTGGTTGAGAGAGTCTGTCTTCCCCATGGTAAGTACTAGATATCAGACTGTTCCATTTGATGGGATCATCATCAAAAGGAAAAAAAATGTGCTTATTTAAATGTCTTCAATTGGAGCAATAGAAGGAATGGAACTGAGGGGAGTCTTATCTCTGCTATTTATTCACAATGGTTTTTTTAACACTTGGTGGAACCACTTTTATAGATCTGCCTGGATAAGTTTAGTCCTTTTTTTGGCCTTTCTCAATATCACTTTTTTTATCAAAGGAACTTTTTTGCCTTTTATTTCCACATGAGCATTGAGGAGGGAGAGGGAAATGCATTGACTGTTCCTCACTTATTCTAGAGACAGGTTATCCTTTTAAGCAATAAGGTGTCTCCATTAAAATATACAGAACGGCATCATATTCAGGTGGTAAGGTTCAGGTGAGGCATTGACTTGTCTTCATAAGCACTAGCTGTAAGCAAATAGACTTCAATCAGTGTGGTAGTTTCTATTGCTGGAGGCTGAGGTCTTTTAATAGTCTTACACAGCTGCATTTGCAATGATGGGAGCTCTATGTTTGTGAGGTTCCACTGTGTTTTGTCCTAAAGACTTCTATTGATGACACTGCCTTAATGCCTCTGTTCTTGAGGAGCTTTCAGAAGCCTAAAGTCGAGTTGTTCTTCATAATGATTTCTAAGGACATGACCGAAGTTCCTGTGACTTTCATTAAATGCAAATTGGAGGTGCTCATGTTTAAATGTTTGATGCTTCAGATATATTATGAAGACAAGGACATTTTAGGAAAAGATTGAATATTTAAAGAGGATGTGATGTAGTTTGAGATTTTGAAACTGTGCAAATACTGAAGGCCCAAACAAGGAGCAACTTTCTGCCAAAGGCAGTCTTCGTTCCCTCACCAAATTGTCAGCTTCTGACTGGTGCTAAATCTGCAGTTGTACAACTATAGAAAAACAGTCTGAGTAGAATTCACCCCCGAATTCTGCTCAAGGCTCTCTCAAACACCGTGCCCTCCTCCCTCCTCCTCCTCCCTGCTCCCCCTCAACACACATACACTGCTGGGTGGATACAAGTTCTTTAAATGATAGGTTTCAATATAATGCTTTAATACTTAGCTTCCTTTCTAAAGACGTCATTTTCCTGACCTAAGCTTTTACGTTCCACATTCTCTGCCTTACACTTTAGGTCTAAAAGCATGCTAATCCAGCAAGTGATCCTAAAATAACTGCATTGAGAAAATGTATATTTCAAAATGAATTTGGACAGTAGAGATCAAATCTGACACGTAGCTATGTCACCACAGCTCAGTGATCAGCTATGTAGATGTGACATCCATTCAGTGAACATTCAGGCCCAACCATGACCTTCAGCGAGGGTGAAACTATAGGTGTTAATGCTGAATTATTCAGGCCTGATCAATTCCCTCCACAGGGGATTATACTCTTATAATCCCCAAAAGGCCGCTACCATAGTGTTCAATGAAACGTTTGATCATTAAGTCCCAGAATTAACGACAGTCTTCCATCTCTTCAGTAATCAGACATCAGAGGCAGGTTCTATTGAACTGAATTTCTGGTTGTAGAGTTGACTAATTTGGATTGGGCGAATGCTTCATGTATCCTGTATCCATTGGTCTGTAGGAAACCTTCAGTCATCTGCATTCTATCTATCTTCTAGCCCTGCAACTACAGTTAGTTAAATCATTTGGAAGTTAGTGTTTAAAAAACACTGCAAAAGAAAACCATTGTGAATTTGAGGCAAATTAAGAATTTTACAAATATCTGCAATTTGGAATAATATTAATTTTAATTAAAAGATGGTGGTCCGATGGCACAGACCAGTTTTGGGGCCTCTGGTTTTTATATAGTCAGGAATGAGGCAGACGTATCTTTTCTGATCAGCCTGTGGTGTGCAGATTGAGTGACGAACAGCCTGGAGAATTCTGCAGCTATCTACAGTAGTTGGGAAGCCAGCCCAAGATCAACTGAGTTACCAGGCCACCAACAGAATTTGCTTTCCTCTCGAAGGGGTGGAATTAACAATAGCCTCATTGACGGGTTTGTACGTCAGTGTGATATCATGGCATGTGAGACTGCCACTTGGCAGATTAGAATCAAAATTGGCCTACACTCGTGAAAATTCAATCTGAGTAGCATTGTTTGGCTTTCAATGTGTGGTATTTGAGGTCAGCTGTTTAGGAGTCTATGCCACACTCATGTAATGCAGCAAGTGGTTATACTAAACCAAACACTGGATCTTTATACGTCTGGTTATTTAATACTTTTCCCCACTAAAGAAGTGTTGGTGAAGTATTGGCCCGCTGAAACAATGGAATTTGTGAATGATCCAGTGGAGTTTAGATAGAGAGTGAAACAGTGAAAGTGCTGCCAACACATCATCAGAGCGTTTGTACCTGCAAGGCAGTATTCCTGCTTGTTCTCCACATCCATCTTCTCTGTGCTAGCCAGGGTGTGTGTACTGACTGGCTGTTGAACAATGCGTCTTGCACACCAGTTTGTTTAATAGTTTCAAACCACTGCCATAACAGGAGGATGACTGATTTCCTCTGCGTTTTAAAGGGGGTGGGGGAAAGAGAAAGGGGAATAGAATCCTACTTTCTACTTTCAATAATTGATGTGTGTAATAGAAATCAAACACACCTTTGTTTATGTAATTTATCACATTAGAAAATGGGCCCAATAAAGCCATTCATCAGATCAGGTTATTTATGTGATACCCAATCCTGGTAATGATTAAAGTTTACACACTGTTTTCAGGACAGTGCTGGGGAGATGATTTAATGGCAGCTCATCATGAACTGGAGAAATACAACAATAACTAAATACTAGTAATTTTCACTAAATATACCAAATTGTAAGCACTAATTACATTGTATGGACCTGAGGGAGTGTGGATTAATGACTATCTATAATAATAATAATCCTTGCATTACTATCTCACCTGAGAGCATCATACTGATGTACAGTCCATGGACATGGTTTTGTTGCCTGCAGTTCTCTATTGCTGCTTGTTAACCATTCCCAAACTGAGACCAGACAAGGGACTCCACTTGATGTCCCACCCACTGCTTTGTGGCTCCATTAACAGTGTGGCGCTGGACTAAACCTGGTCACATCAACCTCAACATCTCAATGAGAAAATCCACTAAGGCTCCCATTCATGATCATTCCCCACTGACCTCAATTAAATGTGTTGACTAACGCCATGATTAGTTGTGACTGCAATGCATCTCACGGATACCTCACTGCCACTGACTATTCATGCAGTAAGTAGGAACCCGGTTGTTAATCGATTAACGGATCACTTTCTGGGAGTAATATCCCTTCAAAAAAATAAAATAAGTAATAATAATTTTGTCAGTGAATTCCCGACTGTTTGTGGGACACTTCTGTGCGCAATTGGCTGTCGCGTTTTGCCCACAAAATATACAGTCGATTCACTTCACAGTATTTTTTGAGATGTCTCGAAGACGTGATAAGGCGCTGTATCAAATGCAAAGATTATTATTATTCCATCACGTGTTCTCCTTCTACTGGGAAGCCCAGTGACCTGAATCGTGGATTTCCCAATTGCCCATAATGGGAGACTTTGATGTGGTGGAAGCCAGGTGAGCAGTTTGTTTCTCTTGCTGTAAGAGGTGCTTTAGGTCTGTGGTGCAAGCCTGGGCAGGCAGACCAAATTCAGGAACTGCAGTAATGGCATCTGACAGGATCTGCTTTCAGAGCAATTTAAAACTTGGATTGTAAGTAATTAACCATCATTTTGAATCATTATTACACCTTCATTAATCTGAGGTTTATGTAGTTTTAACGTTTAGTGTGGGAATAACACACTTGAGAGTTGGTTTATTCAGGTAAAGTGAGACAGTTAGGAAAATATGCAACACTGAATAGCACAAGTGAATGTTAAATTTTACTGTAATGTTCCAGTTAAGTAATTAAAGTAAATGTCAATCCTTTATGGAGTATTTGGCAACCTACGCAGAGTACACTGATTGAATTAGGAATCATTTCCGCACATTTTTGAAAAATAGCTGGATTTCTGTTTTTCTATTTTGAGTTGTGCATTCGCTGGTTTATAATAATATTTGCAAAACAAACCTTAAGAATATTGCCTTAACTTTACCCTAAATGTGCAATTCAAGTGTGCATTGGGGTGAAAATTGGTTGCAGTGTTTGTGTGTAAATATTTTGAGCAGATTGTTTTAATGCTCTTTTGAGTTGTCAGCTCACCTCTTGAGCAGTTAATGATTAAAATACTTAGAAAAATAACTTTGCATTTCATATAGCCCCTTATCACATTGTTGGAGACATCTTCAAAGTGCTTCACAGGATTTTACTATGATGTGTAGTGACTGTGTGTTACATTACGATAAGAAAATGTGTTTTAGTTCTTGAAGTTGCTTGCCTACAAATGTGATTTTCTCCTGACATAAAACCAATATTAAGATATGTACACGGGTTAGTCTCTTTGGAAGCCATTGGTTCCCAGATGAAAGCTTCTTTGTTTAAATGCAGTGTGTAATGTTGTAGTAAACTATGCAGACAGGGGGTTCTCCCAATCTGAATTAGCTGGTACAGTTACTTTACCTGGATGTCTCTAAGATAGCAAATGGAAAGTCAGCCTCCTACTGT